CGCTGGGCTCAGTCGGGACGCCCTGCGCGCTCCGCGCCGAGACCATAGGGACGACGGCTCCCGCCACCGAAGCTGTCCTTGTCGCCTTCTCGCGCGGCGGGGCCATGGCTGGCGCTCACTGCCCCCCGGAGGGAGACCCGGCTTCGGGAAACGGCCGCGGGAAGATGCAGCCACAGTAGTGCTGAGAAATGAAACCTAAGAATCCGGCGGGAACCAAGCGAATGCGACCGGGAACCCGCCCGGAAGGGCCTGGGCGGGGCCGTGTGGGACCACGCCCCCTCAGTGGAGGGGCGGGGCCCCAGGGCCCCGGGAGCCGCCGATTTCCCCTCCATCCAGGTGAACCCAGCAGCTGGCGTGGGAACCTCTCAAAACCAACCCGGGCAAGCAGATGATAACCCATGCGTTTGCTGAGCGTCGCCTACAAAAATCTTGAAAACTACAGACCTTCTCGTACATTGAAACTGACAGAGAAATTTTCTGAATGTAATTTAAAGGATTTTTTTTAACTAATGGAAAATGTCAAATGCTCAGTTTTTACCAGATGGAATGAGGTGTGGGTTGATTGTAATTGGAATAAACATTTCGTTTTATTTGACTTTTTAAAAGCACACACAATCTCAAAGAAACTGTACAACTCTCATCGGTGAGTTTTATCCATTGGTTCTCAAAAGCCCATCAAAAAATGATACACACATTTGAAATAATCCATCCTGCTTCGGCTGTTGTGATTCCAACACAATAGAGGTTTTCAAGTATCTGTATCTAAAACCAAACTCTTTGCATATTACATATGTAATATGTATTAAAAATACATATTAGACAGGAACCCCCTAGGTTTAGAATGCCTTGATTACTTTTTTTTTCACTATCGTTTTAAGCCATTTTTCAATGTACAGTTCAGTACCAGTAAATATAGTGACCTTATTGTGCAACCATCACCACCATCCATCTCAGAACTCATCATGCAGAACTGAAACTCTACCTGTTTAACCCTAACCCCATTCCCCACCTCTCTAGCTCCTGGTAGCCAGCCTTCTACTTTCTGTCTCTATGAACTTGACTACTCTAGAACTTCATGGAACTGAAATCATACAGCATTTTGCCCTTTTGTGATGGGCTTATTTCACTTAAGATAACGTCTTCAAGTTTTATCTATGTTGTAGCATGTGTCAGACTTCCTTTTCAAGGCTGAATATTTCCATTGTATGCATGTACCACATTTTGTTTCTCCATTCATCTGTCAATGGATAAAAATCTTGATTACTTTTTTAAAAGATGTCTCTGAAACCAGTATTTTGATACATACTTCTCTTTGAATTGTGATGTAATAGGTGTATGTTTGTCTTCTGTAAAATAGAAGGAGGACTGTTGTGTAGTCAGACTTGTTCTCAAGCAGGTTAATTTCAGGAAAGAGTAAAATGGAAGTTGAAGTTGGAAAGCTGAAGCTGGAAGTTGAAATGTGGAAAGCCATCTCCTTACAACTGCAGGTGCCCTTGGGCCATCTTTCAGGATGCACAGGAGTATGCCTGTTCCAGTCTGAAGACCTCTGCTTTATAGTTCTGTTTTTGTCCTCCAAGGGCCCCAGTGCTTGTCATGGAATCCTGTAAATGACTACAGCTGGCTTAATGCTGTCTTCCAGCTGTTTCCAAAGTCTTGTAAGTACACTGGTGTCAGCTTAACCAAAAACATGCGAGCAACACTCCACCGGGCCAGAATCAAATACCTCAGCTGCTGACCTGTCACAAGAGGTGAACGTGGTCTTTGCCCAATCTTGCAGCCGCCATCAGTGTCCAAATCATAGAAGGAGTGACTTTTTAGTTAAATCTTCATATGGAGTTTGGACTTTATCTAGCAGGAAAAACCAAGAGATCTGTTTGTGGGTATATAGCTTACCTAGTTGATTTTACTTCTTATCCTTTATATCTCATGTTTGTCTCAGTCATTCACTTAGTCACTCAGTATTTGTCATAGGGGGAGGGTTAGAGCTCAGCGGTAGAGCACATGCTTAGCATGCACGAGATCCTGGGTTCAATCCCCAGTTCCTCCATTAAAAAATTCTTTTTTAGATATTTGTCACAAATACTGTGTGCCAAGCTCTATTCTAGGCTCTTGGGATATAGTGATCTTTGTTTATTCTTGCCCTCCTGGACCTTACATTGTGGCAGAGTGAAACAGACAATAAACATAATACATATATAAATTATCCCATATAGTAGAAGGTGATAAGCTGCATTGAAAAAGGGAAAAAATCATGCAAACGGGACCAGGAACAAGGAATGGCACAATACTAAAATAGTGGGAGAGTGACGTTTGACCCAGGACTCAAAGGAGGGGATACCCAGGCGGACAATGTTCCAGAAAAAGAAAAGTTAATGCAAAGGACCTAAGGTGGGACTATGCCTAGCTGTTCACACAATGTCAAGTGTGGCTGGAGCTTGTGAACTTTGAGGTGCTGTGCCTGTTGCTAACTTACTGCCTCTCAGCTCCAAACGCACCCTTCAATATATGCTCTCTGGTAAACAACAGAATTCCTTTAAGCATTTCTCTTTTAAAGTGCCCACTATGTTAACTTTTCTCAGTAGAAGTTGCTGATGGAACATCACAGGAGGAAGAGGTTTCCTGCGATTTCCAACATAGTAGAGGAAGTGGAAGGGGACTGACGGGGGAAGTCAGACTTGTGGGTGTGAGAACATCCAGCAAAGACTACCCCAGCCACAGGCTGGCCAAGTGATCCTCTGGGACCTCGCAGCCTTGGCCTGGCCATAAGCCATCTACAGCATATGAAGCAAGGAGACCAAGATTCCTGCCTGGGGGGAGGGTATAGCTCAGTTGTAGAGTGTGCGCTTAGCATGCATGAGGTCCTGGGTTCAATCCCCAGTACCTCCATTTAAAAAAAAAAATCTAGTTACCACTCCACCAAAAAATAAATAAAAAAGGTATCCTTAAAAAAAAAAAGATTGCTGCCTGGCCTGTGTGCAGCTGTAACGGAGCAGGATCCCTACTGTCATCATCATCATCGGTGACCATCTGGTATCGTTAGTGTTCTTTGTAACTGCTTAACTATACAATGTTTTAAAGGGTTTTTCTCATGCTCTTTCTGAAGAGGCTTGGGTGGTCTGCCCAACCCCCTTGTGGGGCTGTGTGCAGGGGTCATGCTCAGTGCCCTGCTCTTGTCCCCAGTTCTCTGCTCCTGACCCCAGTGCCCTGCTGTTGTATTTGTGCATCTTGTTGTTCATAATTCACCCCAACTGCACATCTGCAGTTGTTTTTGACCCTTTGTGTTCCTTGTATCCTGCTGTTGCAGCTGCAGAACTCAGCATACAGCAGGAGGTCCCAGGCCTCAGCCTGCTTAAAGGGCTAAAAGCATTATCAACCCGACTCTTAACTACACAAGTTTTTCTCTAGAGCTTTTTTCCACAGAGCCCCTTCCTGTGCATCCTTTGTTCTAGGTACAAGGACATTAAAAGTCCAAAAGCCAGAGGTGAACTTCACACCCAGCAGAGGGAAGGGGACCACTGCATCTGCAAAAACAAGAACAACTTTGCAACAATTTGTTACCCTGTATGCAATCTCTATGGAAACCCACTCTGCCCCTTGAACTCTTGAACTTTCATTGTAAAACCCCCTGCCTTCTCTCCCCAATTGGTTCACAGTCTTAGAGACATTAGCCCACTGTGACCTCCTTTCCCTGGCAAAGTAATAGTGTCCTTTTCTCCTTCATCCAAAACTCTTGTCCTCAAGTCTCAGCTTGATAAGTGAAGTACAGAGTCTGTGTTTCAGCAACACAGCTGCCCGTGGTCCAGAGGGTCCCATGCCAGGCAGCTCATCCCTCCACAGCCCCCTATATTGAGTAGCCCTTGCTCTCTGAAGGCCTCTTGCATTTGAGAGCAGAACGTCTTCTGACTATTCTTTCTTGGTGACTCTCTCTCAGCCCTAGCCTTGTGTCTTTATAGTTATTCTTTCATTATAGTTAATTATTATTATATTAAATGTCTCCTGTTTAATCGACTGTGTGATTTATATCTCCTGTTTAGAACCAGACTGCTACAGAATTGGAATTGGGAGTGGTCCCAGGAGATAGATCCCTAAAAATGGGATTTGGGGATTGGTTTGGTTGTGCCCTTGGGTTCAGTGCTCAAGGGGGAGAAACCAGCAAAACAGACTGAGAAAGAGTAGCCAGAGAAATAGGAGGAAACCCAGAAAATCCTGATGTCTTAGAAGACAAGTGAAGAAAGTGCATCAAGAAATGGCTGTGAACAAGACATGGAAGCAATCTAAATGTCCATCCACAGACGACTGCATAAGGAAGTTGTGGTATATTTATACAATGGAATACTACTCAGTCATAAAAAGAATGAAATAATGCCATTTGCAGTGACATAGATGGGCCTAGAGATTATCATACTAAGTGAGGTCAGTCAGACAGAGAAAGACAGTTATCATATGATATCACTTATCTGTGGAATCTAAAAATAATATAAATGAATCTATTCACAAAACAGAAGCAGACCCACAGACATAGAAAACAAACTTGTGGTTACCAAAGGAGGAAGGTGTGGGGGATAAATTAGAAGTTTGGGATTGAAAGATAACACACTGCTATGTATAGAATAATAATGTAAGCAATAAGGTCCTACAGTCTAACACAGTATAACAAGGTTATATTCAATATCTTTTAATAACCTATAATGGAAAATAATCTGAAAATATATACATATAACTTGGCTGTACACCTGAAACTAACAACATTATAAATCAACTATACTTCAATTTTTAAAAATGGCTGTGAACTACCATCTGATCCAGCTAGTCCACATCTGCATATTTATCTGATGAACATGAAAACATTAATTCAAAAAGACACATGCACCCCTAGGTTCATCACAGCATCATTTGAAATACCCAAGAAATGGAAACAACCTAAGTGCCCAATGACGGATGAATAAATAAAGAAGATGTGGTTGATATATACAACGGAATACTACTCAGCCATAAAAATATTTACAACAACATGGATGGATCATGAGGATATTATGCTAAATGAAATAGGTCAAATGGAGACAGATATCACATGATTTTACTCATATGTGGAATTAAAAAAAATAAATGAACAAACCAAACCAAACAAAAACACAAAGATACAGAGAGCAGAATATTGGTTACAAGAGGGAGAGGAGAGTCGTGGGGAGGGAGAAATAGGTAAAGGTGGGCAACTGTATGTGACAGATGGGAACCAAATTTCTGATGATATGAGCACCCTGTAGTGTATACAGAAGTCAAAGTATGATGTGGTATGTGTGAAACTTTTGTTATAAGCCAGTGTTACCTAAAAAGAAAAAGAAAAGAAATGGCTGTGAAGGGGGAAAGCGTTAATGTATAGTACATCCATCTTCTTGCCTATGTGTAACTGCTCCTTTTGCGTTGAATGACAGTCTTCTCTTTTGAAGCATGAAATACCATAAAGTTCGTGGGGAGATGGGAGTACAGGGCAAGGAAAGAAGGAAAAGGTATTACAGGCTGAGGGAAGAGCAAGTATAAAAGAAAAGAGACTAATGAAGGTATTTAGAGGCCAGATAATAAGGACTCTTCAATCACTTTTCTTTCCTCTTATGATCAGTTATTTCAAGTCCATTTCATAAGTCAGTTCTTTTAAGAAGAAAGTGTTCCCTGTCATCTGCCATGGCCAGGGTCACTCCCTTCCTGCTCCCTGTAAGTGCAGCTCACTGTGGCTTTGTTCAAGCACTTAATTCATTTCCTCATAACTGTGTGTGTCCCAGCCACTAGTCTGGGAACTCTTTGAGAACAAGGACTGAGATTATTCATTTTAAGTCCAACTTTCCTCCAAAATGGAAGTAAAATTGACCAACTGATAACTGGCCATTTTTTCCTCCTATTGCTTATACCCTGCCTAACTTGTTCATGAAACTATGTGCCTCTCAAAAGCAGAGATCTGATTTTCTACTTTTCACATTATTCACTAACTAATAGATTAGAATAACTATTTATTATATCTATCTATCTATAGTTATTAGAAAAATTATACTACAGAATAACTATATCAGTAATTAATAGAATGGAAACTAAGTATGGACTAGAAGGAAATTCTTTAACAATTAAATTATCTGCTTTCTTAAAAATTGTAAGTATTTATTAAGTACAATCAAATATAAAATAAAATATATTTTATGTAACTATATAATAATATTTATATTCTATGTCAAATAAGTTACCAAACCACATTAATAAACATTAGAACTCTCTTAACAGTGACAAGAGAGGAGGGACATTACAAAAAGTCTTCAAAGAAGTAGTAACCCCTGTTTAAATTGTCCCAGATCACAGAGAAGGAAGGAAAGTTTCCAAAATTTTTTTAATTTATCTTAACTCCTTACTCTTCATGTTTTCTCCTTTTTCAGTTTTATTAGGTACAATTATTACAGTTCAACTGCACATACACATTATATTGCATGTAAATACATATATACAGTATACTTCACTTTTTTTAGTTTATATATATGTACTGATCGTTGTTTCTAAGAACAGATTAGAGTTTTAGCTTTTTAAACTTACATACTTATCAAAGAAATAAAAATTACCTGCTTTTTAAAAATATCACTTGTATGGCTAAAATATTTTCTGGTGCCATGGACTCTCTTCTTCTTAATACCCTTTTCTATAATCATGGTGGTAAAAAAGGCTTTTACAATCCAAGGACCTTGACACCATGTCTCAATGTATCATGTGATTTTGGAAGATATCTCTTAACATAAAAATCAAGCTTGAGGTAAAGATTAAGAATATGAAACAGGGTGGGGGAATACAGCTCAGTGGTAGAGTGCGTGCTAAGCATGCGTGAGGTCCTATGTTCAATCCCCAGTACCTCCATTTAAACAAACAAACAAATAAACAAACCTAATTACCTCCCCCCAAATTTTTTAAAATAAAATAAAGTCACTTTTTAAAAAAGATTAAAAAAAATAATATGAACATTACAGTTTAAGATCAATGAGGATTCTCTTAACTCAAAAAAGGGTGAATACCTCGGGTGTTCAAACTCTACACATTCCAAAGAAAGGACTGGCCCCTGATTCATGCAAGATAACTTCTAAGCCCTCAGAATATCTGGCCTGATAGAAGTATCTTTGTACATACCTGGGGCTTTGGACCAGGCTAGACAGTTTATACTAATAATGTGATTTATGGTGAACCATGGTGTATCAGTCTGACTCCTGGAGGGGCTGGAGACTAAGTAACTAGGTGGGTCAGTCATGCAGCATGGAGTCATGAGACTCCCAGTAAAAGTCCTGGATACCAATCCTACCAAAGCAAGGGTGAGCCTCCCTGGTTGGCAATACTTGGTTCTGTGACAATGTGTCACACATCATTGCTAGGAAAACTAAGCACTGCTCATATGACTCCAGTGGCAGAGACAATGGAAGCTCGTGCCTGGTCTCTCATGGGCTCTGTCCTATGTGCCTTTTGCCTTTGCTGAACTTAAATCTGTATGCTTTCACTGTACTAAACCAGTAACGTGAAGAGAACAGCTTTTCTGAGCTCTGTGAGTCCTTCTAACTTATCATTAAACCTGAGGATGGTCTTGAGGATTCCAACACAAAAGGGAACAGACTCACTTCAGCATAGAGAGCTTAATCTTCTTTTACAGCAGAAATCCAGTTAATCATGTACCTATCCCTGCCTAAACACCTTATCTTTGGGTCTGTGATTAGCATCTCTGCAGGAAACAGAAGGGTCTCATTTAAATACACACCATGTTAAGGGAATAGTGAAATTGAAAAGGTATGCCTGTGACTATCTAATCAAAGGCTCAAGCTATTGATTTTTAAATATATATTAATAAAACAGTACATTGTGTAGCACTTGAAAATGACATAAATCTGTATTTGTTGGCATAGAAAAATGTCCATGATAAACTATTAAGAGAAAAAATAGATTACAAGACAGTGTGTATAGACAGTATGATCACATTTTCATTAAAAATATTGAAAATATACCTGTTGTTAGAAATTAAAATCCAGTGCTGGCTGTAGTGTGATGAAATAATCTTACACTGTTAATGCAACCTGACACAAAGTTTTTATAAAGTTTATTTAGCAGTTATCAAAAATTTAAACATTGTGGAGTCCTTTTACACAGTATTTTCACGTATGGTAAGAGTCCCATAAATTTTAAAAGATATATGTACAAGGATGATCATAATATCAAAAAATTAGAAACAATCCAAATGCTCAGTAATTGGAGTTTATTAAACTATGGATCACATACACAATTGACTATAACACTAAAAAGTAAGATAGATTCATATACACTGGCTTGGAGATAGTAAAAAATAATTGTTTTTAAAAGAAGCAAACTGAAAAACAATATAAGCACAGTATCGTAAGTGCAAAATAATAGTAACAGTATAAAAGAACTAGGAGGCATTAACATCGAAATGCTGACAACTGGAGGTGAGGATTGTAAGTTGAGCTGGAAGTTATGGTTCTATGACTCTTGGAGTTTTGTATTTCTGTAAGCTTTCAGTTGTGTGTCAAGAACGCTTATTATTAATGTAATAAGACAAAAATTATGTATTCGATAGATTTTAATAATCAGAATAAAACTGCCACATTGGTTGTTTCATTATCCAACCAGTCAAAGGTTTCGTTCCTAAAGAAAGTTTTAAAAATACCAATTCCAAAAGTCTGGACGTTTAACCTACAGCCGTTTGAGTCCCCTAATTAGTCATCACGAATCTCTGATCCACAAACGCACCTAAACTCCTTTCAAATCTATCCTTATTCAGACTCTAGTTTTTATAAGCAGAAGACAGTGCACCAGAAAACAAAGAATCTGATAAAGCAATCAAAATTATGGTTTGTAAGTGGCTACGTGGCGACTAGAGCAGCAACTCGCTGAAAAGGACAAAAGATGTCGGAGTTGAAACCCCTCAGTGCGGAGTCATAAGGTAATCACACACTCTGCGCCCACCAAGAGACGAGGTACACGTCTCCGGGCCCCCTGCACCCTTAACCGGGTCTCACTTCGCCGCTCAAGTCGCGCCAAACTGCCAATCAGCAGCGACGCCGGACGTAGACGTGTTACGCTGTGACGTCAGAGCAAGATGGCTGCGCCCTGACGACGTTCGTCCCCTAACTTGGCGCCTCGCTCGCATCAGGTTCAGAGTTAGGCTGACTCGTTTCTCCGACCATGCTCTCCCTCCAAGGCTGCGGTCGCCGGGTCGCGGCTTCCCTCAGCAAACAGCACCTTCCGTCCGCCCGGTTCAGCGGTGACCGCGCGGCGCCCGGGACTCCGCACTTCGACGTGGTGGTCATCGGCGGAGGACACGCTGGGACCGAGGCCGCTGCCGCCGCCGCCCGGTGCGGCTCGCGGACGCTGCTGCTCACGCACCGCGTGGACACGATCGGTGAGCAGCGCGGAGTGGGGCTTGGCGTGGGACGCAAGCTGCCAGCATCCTCCCCCTCCCAGCGCCTGATGTGGGCATCCTCTCTACTACCTTAAAGGTGGTGAGAATCCTACTCCTGTGGTCTTAGCCTGAGTCGTGTTTGCAGGTCAGGCGGGCCCGGGCCAGAACTCCGGACTAGGCTGCTCTGTGGACCCCAGATTGTGGTGCTGCTGACAAAAGTTACTGGGGGGAGGGGGAGGGAGATCCCTTGGGAAAGGGGCAAATTGTGAGAATGCTAGAAGATAACCTTATTTCATTGTGGCCGTTTGCTCTTTACTAGCTTATTGCTTTGCTGGAGTGAATTAGCATTACTAGTAACCGTTTATTAAATGACCGTTGTGTTTTTCTCGAGGTTTCGGGAAGCCCTTTTGAAGAATGATGCTACTTTTTATTGCATTCTGTATTTCTACTGGATGTTTATTCCCCATTTTTGTGCTTAGGACCCGACAGCTTTTTTTGCACTTAATAGGTAGCGATTGAACGGCTATACTTTAAAGCAAGACCGCTATCATGATAGATGCTACCTTGTAAATGATGCACGTCTGTGGCTTTCCTCCTGCATTTTACTTAAGAATGAACAATAATTGAAATGTTAACTGTGCTTTGTGAAAATTGTTAATAAATCACATACTTATGTACTGAAATACTTTTTAAAATAACCATCATCTCATAATGGTGGAGAAATACAACCTGTTAACAGAAATTCTTTTGGAGAGAGACTATAGGATTACCCAAAAAGTTATACTTTGCTTATTATGCATTTTTAAAACCGTAAAGAATGGGTGCTACCCTCCAATAATAATAATTTTAAAAATCTAATGAGCAAAAAAGCACTGTTGAACAAGCTGGTTATTAAATAGTGTAAGTAATGTAGTTCTGTCAGAGACGAAGGAAGTCTCATTGAAACGCGCATTCCTATTTTTATACCAACACACTGTGACTTAAGTTTTCTCTTTAAATAAATAGATGTCAGAGATATTTTAATAACCCTTATGGATGACTTTAGTAAATGACAATTCTATCTTAAAAATCAAAGTCTCATTTTTAAGGTAATTTGATGGAGTGGAGTATCAAGTATTTCTGTGTGGTCTCAGAAAGATTAGCTTTGGCTTAAAAGGTTGGACTTCCCATAAGACTACAGAATGCAGGGATTGTCCTGCTGTGATTCAGTCTTACCATCTGCCAGTAATGAAGTCAGAGGCAGAAAGAGAAATTTTATACTAACCTAAAGAATAATGCTTTTTTTGCAAACTATTTTTTGCCTTTCATGACAAAAGTGAAAAGCTTTCTGAGCCTGTTTATTGTGTTGTATCACATATGCACTTCGTGGAGAATGTTGCCTATTAAAGAAATTGTTAGATATTCTGAATCTTAATCCAGGTCCACTGCGTACTAGCTAAGTGATGTTGGACATGGAACAGTGTATCTAAACCTCAGTTTCTTTTCTGTGAAATAGAAATTATAATACCAACTTCATCCAGTTGCTGTATGTTTAAGTAAAAAAATACATGCAAATTGTTTGGAACGGTGCCTGGCCCATATTAAGTGGTCAGATGTGAAGTCTTGCTTTATTATAAGCTTTTCTACATAGCTGACTTAAGTAGAGTGAAAAATGGACTTAGTTGTACATTTTTACTACCATTACCCACCCCAAGTACTAGTACCACACTTGGGATGTTAGTAGCCCCTGTTTAAGACCAGAGGTAACCAATAGACTTTCTTATTCCAGTTATAAATGATTTGGGGTGAATGGTAGCTTTGTGCAGTTCTATGTTGAGAAGGATTTTGAGAGTTAAGCCAAAGAGAGTGGCATGCTCAACTTTTATGCCTCTATGGGGAGGGGCTCAGCACTGATACGTATATTTCTTTCATCAATTTAAACAAGGATTTCCCTTGTTATTTCTTTTTTTTAAATATTGTTTTTCATTGAAGTGTAGTTGATTTTCAGTGTTAGTTTCAGGTGTACAATGAAGCAATTCAGTTATATACATACATACTTTTTTTTCAGATTCTTTTCCATTATATGTTATTACAAGACACTGAATATAGTTCCCTGTGCTAAACAGTAGATCCTGGTTGTTTATCGATTTTACATATAGTAATGTGTATCTGTTAATGCCAAGCTCATAATTTATCCCTCCCCTGCCCTTTTCCCCTTGGTAACCATAGTTTGTTTTCTATGTCCATGAGACTATTTTTGGTTTGTAATAAGATTTGTATCAATTTTTTTTAGATTTCACATATAAGTGATATCATATGATATTTATCTTCCTCTGTCTGATTCACTTCACTTAATATGATAATTTCTAGGTCCATCCATGTTGCTGCGAATGGCATAATTTTGTTCTTTTTATGGCTGAGTAGTATTCCATTGTATAGATATATCACATTTTTATCCAGTCCTCTGTTGATGGACATTTAGGTTGTTTCCATGTCTTGGCTGTTGTAAATAGTGCTGCTATGAACACTGGAGTGCCTGTGTCTTTCGAATTATAGTTTTCTCCCAATATATGATATGTCCAGGAGTGGGATTACTGGATCATATGGTAAGTCTATTTTTAGTTTTTTAAGGAACCTCCATACTGTTTTCCATAGTGGCTACACCAATTTACATTCCCACTAACAGTGTAAAAGGATTTCTTTTTCTCCATACCCTCTCCAGCATTTATTATTTGTAGACTTTAATGATGGACATTCTGATTGATGTGAAGTGATAACTTGTAGTTTTGATTTGCATTTCTCTAATAATTAGCAATATTGAGCATCTTTTCATGTGCCTGTTGGCCATCTGGATATCTTCTTTGGAGAAATGTCTGTTTAAGTTTTTGCCCATTTTTGATTGGGTTGTTTGTTGTTTGATATTAAGCTGTATAAGCTGTTTGTATATTTTGGAAATTAGTCCCTTGTCAGTTTCATTATTTGCAGTTTTTTTCCCCATTCTGTGGGTTGTCTTTTCATTTTGTTAATGGTTTCCTTTGCTGTACAAAAGCTTTAAAGATTAATCAAGTTACATTTGCTTATTTTTGCTTCTATTTCCATTACTTAGGAGCTGGTTCAAAAAAATATATTGCTGCAGTTTGTATCAGAGTGTTCTGTCTACGTTTTCATCTAGAAGTTTTATAGCATCTGGTCTTACATTTAGGTCTTTAGCTCATTTTGAGTTTATTTTTGTATATGCTGTTACAGAATGTTCTGATTTCATTCTTTTACATGCAGCTGTCCCATCACCACTTGTTGAAGAGACTATCTCTTCTCCATTGTATATTCTTGCCTCCTTTGTCTTAGATTAATTGACCATAAGTGCATAGGTTTATTGCTGGACTTTCTGTCCTGTTTCATTGATCTATGTGTCTGTTTTTGTACCAGTACCACACTGTTTTGATTACTGTAGCTTTGTAGTATAGCCTGCAGTCAAGGAGCGTGATTCCTCCAGCTCTGTTCTTCTTTCTCAAGATTGTTTTGGCCATTTGAGGTCTTCTGTGTTTCCATACAAATTTAACTATGTTTTTGTTCCAGTTCTGTGAGAAATGTCATTGGTAATTTGATAGGGATTGCATTGAATCTGTAGATTGCCTTGGTTAGTATGGCCATTTTAACAATATTAATTCTTCCAATTCAAGAACATGGTATATCTTTCCATCTGTTTGTGTTCTTTCATCAATGTCTTATAGTTTTCAAAGTACAGGTACTTTGCCTTCTTAGGTAGACTTATTCCTAGGTATTTTATTCTTTTTGACGCGATGGTAAATGGGGTTGTTTCCTTAATCTCTCCTTCTGATAGAGGTGTTAATGTATAAAAATGCAACAGATTTCTGTGTGTTAATTTTGTATCCTGCAACTTTACTGAATTCATTGATGAGCTCTAGTAGATTTGTGGTGGTGTCTTTAAGGACTTCCTATGTGTAGTATCATGTCATCTGCAAACAGGGGACAGTTTCACTTTTTTGTTGTTAAGTTTTACTTCTTTCACATGTGGATTCCTTTTATTTCTTCTGTGATTGCTGTGCCTAGGACTTTTAAAACTGTGTTGAATAAAAGTGACAAGAGTGGACATCCTTGTAAGACAAGGATTTCTTTGCATTTGATTCTCAAAAATGTAAATTTTATAAATAGGCATATTATACAGTAATTCAATAAAGTGCCTAGAAGTTATTTAGTTTAGAGATGTAAGGAAGTGGTAGAATTTCAGTAATTTATTCTTAGTTTGAGCTTTTTTTTCCTCCTATATATGAGAAGACTCATTTCTCAGGATGAAAGTTTGAGATCTCAGAAATTAGTGAGATTCAGAGATTTTTTAAAAGATTAATGGATACATAGTGAATTAAAAGCTAAGTCATTTTGTTTTTTTCATTTGGGGATTTTTTTTTTCACAGTAGGAAATGCTTTTATTCCTTAGAAGCAATTGTTTTAAGAAAAAGGAATCAAAACTGCTCTTGTTGGTAACCACACTGGCCATTTTTAGAATAGTATGTGCTACTAAGAAAAAGCAATTTCTTTCTTTCCTTTTTTTTTTCCTTTTGAGCTGCTCCTCACTGGATGATCCGCATCTATTCTATAATGATGTGAACAAGACATGCGATGAGCATGTTTAGTGAAAAGCTTAGTCAGTTTGATGAGTAACAGTATCTAAAACAGGGATCACGAGTTTATTTGATCCAAGAGGCAGACACATAAATTTAAATGTATGAAGCTAGGTGGGTATAAACAACATGGAGTAATGGCAGCAGTGGTGAACTGGAAAATACATCCCCATTCGTTGTTTTATTTGTTTGTTTTTAACAAAAGCCTTGTGTATATCAAACTATATCAAATACTACAGGCAACCCACTGGGTTATGAGCTCTATCTTAAAAGTACCTGTGATGTGTCCTCTCTAAAATGGGAAGAGGATTACTTAAGAGTGGTACAGAGTTTGAGATTTACATATGTTAGTCACTATATATAAAAATATGTTTAAAAAAAATTTCTTCTGTATAGCACAGGGAACTATGTTTAATATCTTGTAATAACCTTTAATGGAAGAATATGAAAATGAATGTATATGCATTACTGGGACATTGTGCTATACACCAGAAATTGACACATTGTAATTGACTCTACTCCAAAAATAAAAAAAGAGTGGTACAGAGTAACAGAAAAAATCATAGTTGGTGATGTCATTCCACACACCTCGTTTATGTTTTGGTTATTTATTCATTAGCAAGCAATCTCCAGGGGTAGGCTATATAGCTCAGTGGTGGAGCACATGCCTAGCATGCACTAGGTCTTGGGTTCAATCCCCCGTACCTCCATTAAAATAAATAAACCTAATTACCTTCCCCACAAAACAAGTCAAACAAGCAATTTAAATGTTTGAGGTGTAATTAAATTATTATGTGTTTCTGTATGATTTTTTCTCTACACAAAATAGTCCTTGTCTGCAGTTTGACAGTTAATGATACCTGGGAGAGAGCGAAGTGAGTAGAGCTATGAAAGACCTAAGATTGGAGCTGGATGATTGGAGATTCATTATACTCTCCTCTCTACTTCTTATTCTTTAATAAAATAGTTTAACATTTGTATATGAAATACTATATTGAATTAGAAACTCAATGATAGGATAAGTATTCATTATTTATGTTGATTGATTTTATAGAAAGTGTAGGGAGCACTTTCCTAAGATATGCATGTAAGATACTTAGTAATATTTTACACATTTAAGGAAATAGAAGAATTTTTTTCAACGTTGCTGGTGATGAAAAATTATTTATGATGAAAAATAGATGTACAAAAACCAATTCAAGAAAATCATGTGATGTTTAAAAGGTAAAGATCAGAAGCAAAGAATATTTTACCCTGAAGTAGGAAATATAAATCAAAATAATTATTAGTTAATGTTGTTTATTGCTTACTCCATGCCAGACACTGTGCTGATTGCTTTCTGTACGCTATCTCATTCTGCAGGTAACAACTCCTTATTCAATTAGTTTAAACAAAGAGGAGAATTTATTTTCTAACAAGAAGTCTACAGGTAGATCAGGTCTAAGCCTGGTTAATTCAGCAGCCTTCCTTCCATATCTTCAGTGTGCCACTCTTGGGTTGTTTTCAGGTTAGCTGTCTTATGACTGCAAAATGGCTGCAGTCGATCCAGGTGTTGCATCCAGGTTTGACAACTTTCAGCAGAAGAAAGTTGTATCTCTTTAAAGAAATAAAAAGTTTCCTAGAGATCGCCCCCCACAGCTCACCCCTCATGACTTATTTCCTACCTTTAAACCAGACCCACTGGCAAGTAGGAACATGATTACCATGATTACTTTTAGATCAATACTTACCTCTAAACTGAGTTTAGGTTACACTCCCCAACACAGAGCCTCATGGGAGGGGGGAGGGTACAGCTTAGTGGTAGAGCACATGCTTTGCATGCATAAGGTCCTGGGTTCAATCCCCAGTACCTCCTCGATGATGATGATGATGATGATGATGATAATAATAATAATAATAAACCTAATTACCTTCCCCTTGGGAAAAAATAATTTTTTAAAAAAGCCTCACAGGAGAAAATGTTTACCTGAATAAACAGTGATTCTGTATCAGAGGAGGAGGAGACATAATCCACCACAGCTGTCAGTCCTGTTTTTCCAGTAGGGCCACGAAGGTACAGAATATTAGATAATTTGCCAAAATCACATGGAGCTTGCAAGTGGTGGATCTAGGAACTGAGTCAGATCTCGTTCACTCACTCCTAACCCAGGCTCCTAATCACAGCACTGTTCAGCCATCCCTCTGGAGAACATGGAAACTTTTGTGGGGCTCAGTGCTGACCACAATGGACCCACAGATCGTTGAGATAGCTTTCCCACCCCTCCAGTGCCCGCAGAAACCTTGGAGGTAACCACTCGAGTTTAGATGTCCAAGTAAGACTAGGGGAATTTAAAGAGAAGGTATAAAGTGTGGTTCTACTTTCAGAACGCTTATCATTTAATTATTTCTGCAAAGTAAGCATAAGAAATAGCAGATGGTATTTATGGAAGAGTTAATTGATTGTAACAGCGAACCAGTGCAAGGGGACTTCTTAAAAGTACACTTGTTTGGGAAGGTTTCATGAGGTGAGGATTTCAAAATCTCACTGAACAGGAAAAGAAAACCTACTGAAATAGTAAAAATATGCACAAGGGAAAGTTTCAAAAGAAACTACTTTGTCTTCCAGGATGCCCTGAATACCTCTTAAATCCCACTGGGACTTCGGCGTGTTGTTTTAGTGTTTGCTGCAAGTTTTTATTTTGTTGCATGAGAGGATGCTCCTCACCTGGACAGGCATCTCCCTGTCAGGACTCAACTGTGTATGAGGTACTCGTATATAGATTTTTTTATGTCTGTTCTCTCTAGGTCAGATGTCCTGTAACCCTTCCTTTGGCGGCATCGGAAAGGGGCATTTAATGAGAGAAGTTGATGCCTTGGATGGGCTGTGTGCTCGAATCTGTGACCAGTCTGGCGTGCATTACAAAGTATTAAACCGGCGTAAGGGCCCGGCCGTTTGGGGTCTGAGGGCTCAGATTGATAGGAAGCTCTATAAACAGAACATGCAGGTGAGAACAGGGCAAGGAAGCACAGGAGAGAGCTGCGGTGACCGGTTCTCTGTTCGGTTTCAGCTTGCGCTCTCTTGACAGAAGGAAATCCTAAACACGCCGCTGCTCGCCGTGCGGGAGGGAGCCGTGGAGGACCTCCTCCTAGCCAAGCCGGAGCCCCAGCGCCCGGGGAGCTTCCGCGTCAGGGGCGTCGTGCTGGGTGAGTGCGCCCCCCGGTGGTGGTAACGGTGTCTGACTCCGGGGGAGCGCGGCGTCGAGCAGAGGAGGGGGGCGCTCTGTTCACCCCAGGAAATCACTGTGTTTTCTCTTCATGGATGGGGGAAACTGTATGAAAAAAGCACATTTCTTTCATTTCCTGTACCGTGTTAGTGTGGGACTTCATAGCCTGCATGAGTGTGTCTTCTCCTCCTGGTATTTCTTTTTTTGTTTTTTGTTTGTTTTTATTATTGTTCTCCTCCTGGTATTTCTTTTTTTGTTTTTTGTTTGTTTTTATTATTGTTCTCCTCCTGGTATTTCTGTTGTCATTTGTCTTTTTCTTAGTTCTGACTTTCAATACTTTGAATTTATATTTTATAAGATAATTGTATACATTTATTTATTTTATTTTTTTGAGGGGGAGTAATTAGGCTTTTATTTAGTTATTTTTAATGGAGGTACTGGGGATTGAACCCAGGACCTTGTGCGCGCTAAGCGTGCACTCTACCACTGAGCTGTACCCTCCCCCATGTACGTTTTTGTGAGTCGTGTATTTTTAATCAAAATAACACATGCACGTCCGTTTTACAAAAATCACATAGCATTTAAGTGTGTGGGGGAAAACAGTTTCTGTCTGTCATGTCCCGCTGCAGACTTCACTGCATCAGCTGTCTGAGTTGTCGCTCCTGAGACGCGCTTACACGTCTCTAAATGCTGGGCTCATACTTCACTCCCTAAATTGCCAGTCGTAGACTTCATTAACCTTTTTTATGGTAGCTCTCTTTAACGTCCCACTTTCCTTCCCTCCATCCGTCAAATAAATTTGGTTGATAGTATTTAAATTATTATGATTATTTAAATACTGTTCACTGCAGATCTGAATAGTATGTTTCATTTGTTCATTTGTCCTGTGTACCAACCTTTTTCATTAGAAAACTTCCGACTCTTCCATCAGAGGAGCTGTCACTTCCTCATTGTTCAGTCTGCCGGCCCCGGTCTTCCCTCTGATGCTTTCCTCCAGAGGCGTCAGCCTCCGCGGCCCCCACGCCCTGCCTGCGACACTCAGACCCTTGCTCTCTCGGCCTGTGCACAGATGTCGTTTGAGATGTCCTTTCCCTGCTTTGCTGTGTGACATCGTCCCTGATTGGCTGCCTCCTCCTCCCTGCCTCAGTTTGCTGGGCCACATCCCCCAGTAGCTTCCAGAGCAAAGGTATGCGGGAAGCAGGGTTTTTGAGTCCTTGCACATCTAGAAATATATTCTCTCCTTAGACGCGACTCTTCATCTGGCTGAGAATAGAATTCTAGTTTAAATCTTCTTTCCTGAGAACTGTGACAGTCTTGCTCTTGTATCTTCTAGCTTCCAGCTTTGCTATTGAGAAACTAAACACAGAGTGATTTAAATTGTTTTGTATGTGACTTTTTTTTTTTTCTGGAAAGCCTCTAGGCTCTTGTATTTGCCTGTGGTGTTCTGAAATGTTTAAATGATGCCCCTTAGTTGTCTTCGTTCATTGTGGGAGACTCGATGTTCCCCTTTTAACCCAGAAACCTGTCCCTGATTTCTGGGTGTGTTTTTCAGTTGTTTCTCCCATGTTCCCTTTCTGAAACTCCTGTCCCTTCCTGGATTGGTCTTCCAGGTTTCTTCTATTTTTCTTTCTTGTCATTTTGCCATACTTTCAGGAGATTTCCTTAACTTTTTTTGTCCAGATCCTTTTTTAAAGTTTATGGTGTTTTTCTTTTATAAACAGCGTCTTTTTTTTTTTTGATATTTCTTTGTCTTGACATCTTGATTTTGGTTTCTGAATTTAATATCTTCTCAAATCTATTTAAGGACTTAAATGGTTGATTCTTGAAGTTTCCTTCTGACCTATGTGTTGTTTTCTCCAGATTTCTTCATCCTGTTTGCCTATTTGCAATGCCTGTTTCCGGGTCTCTTTCCTCGAGTGTCTAGGAAACGTTGGTGTCTGTTCCAACTTTTAAATGAGGCGCTAAAACATGATTGGAAGATTTGTGTGTGCACAGTTAATTTTATCGCTTGGCCAACACTGTATCTGGTGATGAGGGGTTGGACTGGCCTTTTTGTTGGGGAACTCCCAAACATCGATTTGTGTTAGTCGGCAGGAGCAGAAGGTGCTCTGGCCAGGGGCCTGCTGGCCGCTTGCTGGTGCTCTGGGAACAGCACTACAGGCGGGGCGGTACTGGGGGGCGCAGTGAGGGGGTCTCATTGTTTAAAATACAAATCCTGACCCCTTTGCCCTGTTGTAAAATTAATTTTTATCATGGACTAATTAATTTGCATGGGGGTACGTATTCACGGGGAACAGTTTAAGGGGAGAAAGCAGGCGGAGGGAAGGGTGGTCTCTCCCGTCTGTGCCCCCAGCAGCCGGTTTCTCCCTCAGAAGCATCACTGGTCTCGGCCTGTGCGTTCACTGTGTCTTCAGGTGCACCTGTGTGTATTTATATATATTCTTCCCTCATAACAGTAGCATATTGTACACGCCGTTCTGTACTTTTTTTTCCAACCACTTGGTCTGTGTTAGCTTTGCTTGGGAGAGTTACGTTTCTTTCTTAAAAGTTTGTGTTTGTGTTCTGTGATTGCTTTAATAACTGAATGATTTTATATTATATATTTAATCTTCTCTTTCTTCTGTCAGTTTTTACAGTCTGATTACTGACTTCCCTCTGTGAACAGTTACTAGTTTTATTTTCATTTCCTTTTCTCTCCCCTGCCTCTTTTCCACTCCAGGGTTAATGATTATATTATTTTTATTAGCATAGACTTTTTAACCTTTAAATTATTTATACATCTATTACTTAATTTACTATCTTCAAATGCCATTTTTGGACCCTGTTTATATTTTATGGGGCCAAAACAACACAGTTTTTATTACAGCAAAATATGCATAATATAAAATTTACCATTTTAGCCATTTTTAAGTGTGGAATTCAGTGCCATTTAAGTGTTGGGCAGCTGTCACCACTCTCCATTCCTAGAACAGAAGTTCTGTACCCGTTAAACAGTAACTCCTTGTCACCCAAAGACCTAACCTACATCTTCCTGTGAGACGGATCTGTCTGCAGACAAACCATCACGTGCTAATTTCAGCTGTTTCTCCCGTTGTCAGCCCCGCCTTCAGGCCTGTGTTTCTCATGTCCGTTTCCATCCCCCAGTTCCTGAGCCCTTAAAGGCCAGTTAGTTGCCTGTCCTCATGGTCTCTCCAGGTTCCTGAGTTCCGGGCTCCTTCCTCTGCACATCAGGTCTCACTCTTCCCACCTCCTTCTGTCTTCCCAGAGTATATGAAATTTCTCATCTTTTGACAAGTTCTTTCCCATTACATGTCCTTGTGGTTTCATATCTTTTTTGCCCCTTTATTTCATTTTCTTGGAGTTTCAGGAGGGAGAAGAAATCATCTGAGGTAGTCTGTCGTATTTCACCAGAAGTCTAGAATTAATGTTCCTGACCCACAGAAACTGTGATAATAAATTTTTATTTTAAGCTGGTAAGTGATGGAGCAACTTATCATAAAGCAATAGATAACTAATATACCTGTATTCACAGAATAGACCTTATTGGCCTTTTCATGATCACCTGTACAAACCTGAATTATTCTAGTGGAAAGATTAATAGTTTGCACAATCTGCTGTATACATAGAAATTAAGAAACACTACTTGAAGACAAAATAAAATTAATTAATTAAAAAAATTAACTGAGACTAACTCTTCAGGAACATGTAAATTGGTCATAACACATTATGCTCTCCCCTCAGTGTTCTTGGATTCTTTAGATTGATAACATACAGCCTTCTTACTGATTTTAAATCTTTTTCAAGTTTCTAAAAACAACTGGTTTTCTGTAGTTCTGCTACGAAGTGCTCACATTCCAGTTTGCTCTGTGGAAACTCTGTGGAAAGTGTGACAATTCACTTTCCATCACTATTAGAGTGCTAGAGCATGAGTTTCACCCTCTTTCCTGTCCTGCAGTGGATGGAAGCGCGGTGTATGCGGAGAGTGTGGTTCTGACGACCGGCACGTTCCTGAGAGGCATGGTTGTCATTGGATTGGAGACGCATCCCGCAGGACGGTTAGGGGATCAGCCTTCTGTAGGGTTGGCTCAGACTCTGGAGAAGCTGGGGTTTGTGGTGGGAAGATTGAAGACCGGGACTCCACCCCGGATCACCAAAGAGTCCGTTAATTTCAGCATTCTTAACAAGCAGACACCAGACGATCCATCCGTACCATTCAGCTTTATCAATGAGACAGTGTGGATTAAGGTGAGATATTTATGAGAACCTGGCTTTACGCAGAGGATACAGACCGACCATTTCCTTTTTTTCTTTTTTCAATTGGTGACAATTCACTTTCCATCACTATTAGAGTGCAAAAAAGTGATCTTTAAAAGCATAGGCTGAGTTGGCTATTTAGGTCTTTCCCCCCGAATTGTCAAATTTCATTACTGTGATAACTTTGCCTGTTTAAACTTTTTGAAATAATTTCAGACCTATAGAAAAGTTGTAAAACTATTAAAACAAACTGCTGTAAACCACTGAAATTCACCTATTGTTAATATTTTGCCCTCTCTCCATGTAGACATATAGATACATGTGTATATTTAATGTATAAAACAGTAGTATACACATTTATTTTTAGTCCTTTTTCTTTTCCTAAAACATTTAAGAGTAAATTGCAGAGATCGTGACCCTTTACCTGCGAATACTTCATCTGCATCTCAACTGATCACAAGACACCCCCCGTACGTAGCCTCAGTGCAGTGATGGGAGTCGGGGGATTTAACACTGACACAGTCCTGTTATCTAAGATAAAATCCATAGTGAGATTTTGCTGATTGTCCCAATATTTTTTTTGTGCTAACCTTTTTTCCCCAATCTAGGATACTGCATCTGATTGTCATTTTTCTCTAATCTGGAACTGTCCCTCAGTCTTTCACGGTACTGACATTTTTTGAGGATATAGGCTACTTTTGCCTATCCTTTGAATTTAAAAAAAAAATGTATATTGTGTGTTTAGAATAGAGGACTAATAATTGATGGTCCTAGTTTCTGGTGAGTATTATCCTGATGAGTGGCTCCAAATATTCTGTTATTTTGAATAAATCGCTTTTATATTTTTACTTTGGTAAAATGTAAACATGATGATACTTTCTTAGTGTGTATATTTTTAAACTTATTATACATTTTCAAGTTTACAGAAAGTAGGGAAAAAAAACATTATAATGAATCTGTATGTGTCCATCACCCAGATTCAATAACATTTTTTGACATTCTTGTTTCATCTTTTTCTCAACACTTTGTTCTTGCTGAGTTTTTTGGAGGCACTGGGGATTGAACCCAGGACCTCATGCATGCCAACCATGTGCTCTGCCACTGAGCTCTACCCCTCACCCTGTTCTTGTGCTGAGTTTTGTTTTTTCCTTTTTTTTCCCCCTTAACAGCAGCACTAGAGATTGAACTCAGGACCTCATGCAGGCCAAACACGCGCTCTACCACTGAGCTCTACTCAGACCCTATTCTTGCTGAGTTGTAAAGCAACAATCCCAGATATCGCATCATTTTACTCATACTTTGGTCTGTGTCTTTAACAGATAAGAACTTTATAAAAATCAGCCACAGTACTGTTATCACAGCTAGCAAGATAATTTCTTAACATCATTTGATATTCAGTGCAAATTTTCCCTAGTTGTTTCTTACAGTTGTTTTAAAATGCTTATTTTAAATTTTTTTTTTACAGTTGTTTTATCTGAATCAAAAACCAAGAAAAGTCCACATGTTACATTGAATGATGTGTCTTATCACAGGCCCCCTCCCTTTTTTTTAATTTACATGTGGAAGAAACTGAGTCATTTCTTCTGGAATTTCCCACATTCTAGATTTGTCTGGTTTCATCTGTCTGGTGCCTTAAACATGTTCCTGCATCCTCTGTATTTCCCGTAAATTGGTAGATCTGGAGGCTTACTTAAATTTAGGCTCATCTTTTGGGTGGTTTTTGTCAAGATCACTTCATCATTATTAATATTTGGCATTTTGCGTAGATTTCGTGTCTATAAAAGTGAGTGTGCATCATGGGTAGAATTTATTGGAATATGAGGCAGACTTATACAGAAGCAGAGTGGTGTGGTATCCAGTTCCTGTGTTTCAGCCGGAAGATCAGCTGCCATGTTACCTGACTCACACCGACCCTCGAGTGGATGAGATCGTCCTAGAGAACCTTCACCTTAACAGTCATATTAAGGAGACCACAAGAGGGCCCCGGTAAGGACAAGAACTGAGAACGGTGACGTCAACCCTCTGTTGTTTGTTTCATCCAAGTCTGAATTCCAGTGCCCTGTTCTAGGTACTGTCCATCCATCGAATCAAAGGTTTTACGTTTCCCAAACCGTCGCCATCAGGTTTGGCTGGAGCCTGAAGGACTGGATTCTGACCTCATCTACCCCCAGGGATTATCCATGACACTCCCAGCCGAGCTGCAGGAGAAAGTGATCACGTGCATCAGAGGCTTGGAGAAAGCGAAGGTGGTCCAGCCAGGTAGAGGGAGGCCCCGCTGCCCCATGGCCTGAGCTCAGCACCACTTGGCGGGCAGTGTGGGGACCCCAGCCACAGCCGTGCTCTCAGAGCCTCAGAGAGCAGAGCCCAGCACCTGTGCACTTAAACTAGGCTTCGCTTTTGAAGAGCCTTTAATTAATGGTCATCTTGGCATCTCTGTCTGGAGGCAGATCCAGCGCCGTTTGTACTCACCCTGCGCCGTTTCTCCTCGGGCCAGGCTATGGCGTGCAGTATGACTATCTGGACCCCCGTCAGATCAGCCCTTCCCTCGAGACTCAGCTGGTGCAGCGGCTCTTCTTCGCTGGGCAGATCAACGGCACCACCGGCTACGAGGAGGCTGCTGCCCAGGTAAGAGCTGGTTCAGGTGGAACTGTGAGCAGGAAAGGACTGTTTCACGCGTTCCTCCTCTTGGCAGCTGTTGGGACAGCTACATAGTTCTTAGACACAGCTTATGACCGCAATGGAGCACTTGCTTCTGCTTCTGGGTAGGTGGAGGCACTGCTGTATACAACACTGTGCTTTACTGTCTTCTGAGCTCCTAGAGCTGATGGCATATTTTGATTTGACTTATTATACTGCTTCTGAAGTGGGAAACAAATTTAGTTCTTTTAATGTAACTTTATTGAAAATTATTATTACTCCTTTTTAAGTGGGAAATATGTTATTTTTACTTGTAAATAGGAAAAGGCTAGCAGTCTTACAGGTAGACTTTTTTAAAAGGTGACTCCCATAGGGTAATCAGAAATGTTGGATACTTGTGAGAACAATGAATCAGCATCCTAGGGTGATACCCTGGCCCTACTCTGTTTCTGATTTGGGACCACATTTTCTCTGTTCTGTCCCTTCTGTGCAGGGCCTGCTCCCTCACTGCCCACACTGTGTTTCCAGGTAGTGTCCAAGTGGGGTAGCTCTCTTCAGTTCATAATGGCCTTCTAATCATTTCAGTCCTCTTGTAGGGAGTGATAGCTGGAATCAATGCAAGTCTGCGGGTCAGGCGCAAGCCTCCGTTTGTCGTCAGCCGGACGGAAGGCTACATCGGAGTCTTGGTTGATGACCTCACCACTCTGGGCGCCAGCGAGCCGTACCGCATGTTCACCAGCCGAGCTGAGTTCCGTCTGTCCCTGCGCCCCGACAATGCCGACAGCAGGCTCACGCTCCGAGGTGACTCCCGGCTGAGTCCTGCAACCAGACTTCCTTAATTCTTTGGGGTTTTTTAGGTTTTTTTCTGCGGGGCGGTGGTAATTAGGTTTATTTCTTTATTTTTAATGAGGATTGAACCTAGGACCTCATGCATGTTCAGCACATGCTCTACCACTAAGCTACACCCTCCCCCACAAGGCTTCCTCCTCTTTGACAGCCTTCCATCCCCCTTCCAGGGTATGAGGAAGCTGGCTGTGTGTCCCAGCAACGCTTCGAAAGAGCCTCTCAGATGAAGGCTTCCTTGGAAGAAGGCATTTCTGTGCTAAAATCCATTCAGTTGTCAAGTTCTAAATGGAAAAACTTAATCCCAGAGGCTTCTATAAGTATTGATAGAGGTGTACCTCTCAGGTAAGCATTTTTAACATAGGCCTTTCTCGCTTTTTACAGAAAAATGAAAGAATTTCAGAGAGACATTGCCCACACATTTTGATTGATGCAGCTATTACTTTTGGCTTCTTTTCAGACTCCTTTAGATGTAACTTATCTCTTTACTCACTATTAAAAATATGTGTGATTCTAAATTATTATTTTTACTTTTTAGTTAATTTCCTCCGTGGCTCCCACTGAGTTCTTCCGGCTTTCCTGAGATTTAGTGGGTAGAAACCAAGAAACTTAGTTACCTGCTTTCTCTTTTAGGCCTGGAGCAATTGCACTGGTCCTGTCTTGCCTGTGAGTTATAGCAGAGACACTCTGATTAGGCAGGGTGTTATAAATCCTTTGGACTTTCTTGAGAAGTCCCTAGCTACATTTTGGGGTTCTTTTTGTCCTTGTTTTTATCATTCTGCTTATATGGATTCTGAGTCTAAAGGACATTAATACAGAGCTTTTTTGCTTCAGAGATGTGTTCCTAAGAACCTTATTATATCATTCATACTGCAAGGTAGCTCTTTTTTGGGTTAGTCATTAGAAGGTGTATTCCAATATGTTCTGTAATTTCTGAAAGGGCAGCCCCGTCCCTCTTGGCGTTTAGGGTTATTTGGTTTCGCCATAGCTTATCCAATGAGGCCTCTGAAGGCAGGTGACCTAATTCATGTCCTGGAGCAGAGCTGACCAGTGCCTTGTCGGGGGAGCGCTTCCAGCCAGTCCCGGGCTGGGTGAGCAGCCGCTGAGCCAGCGTCTGCAGAGGCCTGGGGAGACTCGAGACCTCCGAAGGGGCAGGGCTGTCTTCTGCTAACTTGATAATTAATTGGTGTACTTGGTTTTAGGTGGACATAGTTTTTTAAAGGGGGAAAGATCAAAGTAGATAAAAATAAAAGTAATACAGGCAGTAAATGTAGGGAGACCGTACAGATCGGTGAGGCCTTGTGGGACCCAGGCAGAGTGAGAGGGACGCTGCAGAGTGCCTTGCAGTCAGAGCAAAAGGCAGGGGCTCTCCTTCTGCTGGTCCCTAGCGAGCGCGGGACGTGGGCTTAACACGACCAAGATGGGAATTCAGAGGCTGTCTGTCCTCACAAGCCAGGGCGAATGGATCACTGCACTGCCACCTTTCCCAACCGCTCATCCTTCCCGAGGAGGGGAGCGGGGGAGGGTCACAGGCTCTGCTTCTGGGCGTGCTGCTGCCTTCACCCCTGGACTTGGAAAGAATTAGGAGTTTTGATACTACTTGTCCTGAGATTTGGTGCTATTTCCAAGGAACCTTGTTGTCAGTCTGCCTGATGCGCCTGGACCCCGTACTAACGAGAGGTTCGTGTGTCTGCAGTGCTCTCGACATCCTGAAGTATGAGGAAGTCCACATGGAGCTGCTGGCCGCGGTCGCCCCAGCGCCTTTGCAGAAGTACGCAGAGTGCAGAGAGCTGGCCGAGAGGCTGAAAATAGAAGGTAGAGGGTGCCCTTCTGTTCCCCTTTCCGTTTGTGCGCAGCACGAGTGGGTTAGATAGGGCTGGTGCGGTCACGGTCATGGGGGGTGGGGTCCTGGGGAACAGGGGGAGCTGCCCGGAGCTTGTTAGGAATGCGGGATCTCAGGCCCCACCCCAGACCCACTGAGGCAGCACCTACATTTCAGCAAGACCCCCAGGTGATCTGAGTGTGTGTTTCAAGTCTGGGAAAGTGCTACTGTAGAGCTCGCTCAGTACTGTTGAGCTCAATTTTCTTTTGTTTTTTTTTTTTTTTTTTTTTTACATTTTCCCTATTTAATGTTCTAATAATGAGAAAAACACTACTGTCTTTGGCTTTGACAGTGGAATACTCTCCCACTAAGAAATACGTATTTAGTATCAGGCAAAGACACCCAGAGTCTCCCCTGTATGTGATAACACACGCTGAGCTCTCACACTTGTGGTCAGTGTACTGGCCAGAAGGCCACCTATGACTTTTGTAGGTGTAGTTTTTTGGTTTTTTTTCAAGTTTTTCTTTACAAAAAAATTTCAAACATTACTGAGAATATCAGCTTCTGCATTTTGATAGATTTTTTTTCCCCTTGAGTGGAAAATTGTGTGGAAAAAGAGGCAGGGACCAGAATAGATGGGGGAGAGCAGGAGAAGCAGGGGATGAAGGACTGTTGAACAGGAGAGGACCTGGAGCTCCTGGGAGACCAGCATTCCTCCTGGGGCCGGCATTTCCTTTCAGTCCCACAGACGTCTGTCACCTGCTGCGCTGTGGGCTGACCCAAGGGGATGACCTGTCATCCTCACAACTGACCAGATGCTGGTAGTTCACTCATGTAGGAAACGTAATGTTGACCTTTTATTTCAACATGTGATCTTTCTATTAAGTAAAGTTTACTTTATTGAATGTTTAGGCTGTTAGCATCTGCGGAAAGACGGTTAACTTCTCTGTTTTAAAACTTGGTTTGCAGTTTTACTTTGTCCAGCAAATCATCCAGAATAATTATCTGTGACTTTCTCACGGGAAACCCTGATTCCAGCCATGGGGTAGCTATCGTGTTGCCGCGCTCTTTAAAGACTCTGGCGTGTAGAATGCAAAGGCTCTAACTTACACCCATGCTTGAAAGAAGCTGGCCATGGTGAAATAGCACGCATCAGTGGGTTTCAGGTCACTGGACTAGTCTCTAGAGGGTAGACATCAACTTCAGGTTCTTCTCTGTGTTGTCTCTCTTTTGCTGCGTGCATATTTAGAAGATTAAATGTACCTTTAACATGCACATCACCACCTCATTTATGTTCTGGGAACCATAAAGAGTCTATTCATGCATCATGGAGTTTCATTACAACTTGTTGTCCTAATTTGTTCTGTGTTGTATTAAGCTGTTACATGCATGATTTCGCTTGATACTTAGAAGCCTGTGAAGGACGAGTCTTAATTAGCATTATGTCTTAATTGTCCAGAAAAGTGATAGGTTGCCCAAGGTCACACAACCGAGTGGCCGAACTGGGACTGGAACCTCGCACGTCTGACTGCAAGGCCTTTGTTGCCCTAAAGACCATCGTAGGTCATCGGCTCAGCTGATGGAATGCAGCATCAGTTGTTTTGATTTGACTTGACTTGTAGACAAAGCGGCTGAGGCCAGAGGGTCATGATGTAGCAGAGGGTGATCCCCTGGTGCAGCGAGGCTCAGGGCTGGGATTTCCCGGCTGCCAGTCCAGTGATGGAAGCTGAAGCAGCCAGGACCCCTGGGGAAACTTGGTTCTTAAACATGACAGTGACCACCTCAGTTTAGTTCTTAAAACGGGTTTTGAGCTTATTTTTCTAAGAACAGAAAGATTTAATTACAAAATAATTGCTGAATTATCTTTCTAACTTCACTTCGAAATAAAATCTTAGTTATTTATCTTATCATCTAAGAAGGTTTACTTTTTAAAACTATAGTTTGATCTGAACATAAGGCAGAAAACCATTTTCTTAGATATATCTTTAGGACTTAAAACTCAGACCCACAGTCCACTGAGGGAAATGTTCACCAAAATTTGCACAGAGGAGGAAAGCAATTTCTTTTTTTACTTTCAGTTTTCCAGATTTTTGAAATGAAAAGGCCAGGCAGTAAACTGCCAGGCAGAACGCTGTAGTTAACAAGCAGGACCCTCCCTCTCTTTATTTTAGCCTCAGAGGCCTTATCTGCGACAGGGGCAGCTGCCCCCGTCTCGGGGTGCTGAGCTGAGTGTTGCATGAGAGCCTGTGTGCAGAGGCTCTGTAAGTCACAGACAGCTGCAGAAAGCAAGCAGTTCGTATAACCCGAATATGCTGCTTTTGTTCGTCAGCCACCTATGAATCAGCACTGCTCCATCAGCAACAAGAAATAAAGGAAGTCCAGCGAGACGAAGCTCTGGAGCTGCCCGAGGACCTGGACTACCTGCGTCTCAAGGACGTGTCGCTGTCCTGCGAAGTCCGGGAGAAGCTGCACCTCAGCCGCCCTCGCACGGTGAGAAGCCAGCCACACGGGGCCAGGGCTTTCGTTTTTAAAACCTGGGTTTACAGTGGCCACATTACTCATATTGTATTTCCTCATAAAAGCTTAACCTCTCATGTCCACGTTCTTTTTCTATGACAAATGTTGGTATGTTTTTATGAGAGGTGGAGAAGCTTAGGCTAAAAGAAGTAACTGGGAGTCAGGAATTGGGTTAGTTATAATGATTCTCTGGTCCCAACCGTGTGCTTAACCATCCGGCAAACTCATTTATGTGCACAACCGAAAGGAAACGACTTTAGGTTAAAATGGAACACGTGTCAGTGGTTTTCAGATGCTCGCAGGCCCCTACCTGGGGTTTCGTAGTGTTGCCTTGGGAGCTGCCAGGAGGAAGAGGCGGCCAGAGAGCCCCCACCCCTGCTCCGGCCTGTGAGCGCCCAGCTGCAAATGTCTGTTAAAAACGCTATAGTATATAGTCTTGGACTTGTACTAACAAATATTTGAAGACTGGTAGGCTGTATTTATTGATTCTGAGACACATTTTTACATCTCTGAGTTATCTTAAAAATTGATGGTGTGTCACAGTTTAATGGGCAGTGGATTTTGTTTTGGGGGCTTTTGGTTTTAGTTTGGATTTTTTTTTTTTGTCGTCGTTTATGAAGGGGTATTTACCAAAAATTTAATCTGCAGAATTTTTTTTTTTTTAAAGGGAGGAGTGATTTCATCAATTCTTAGTAACAGCCGCCATGGGAAGCAGGCAGAGAAGCCCTTGGTTTTATGGCTGTGCATCCCTGTTCATTCTGGGTTGTGTTTTTGTGGACAGTCACGGGCTGCACTGCCCAGTGTGAGAGACATTAGCCAAATATGACTGTTTGCAGTAAATAAAACCTGAGGTAGCTCTTCACTCATACTGGCCACATTTCAGGTGCTCCGTAGCCACAGGAGGCTCCTGGCTCCCACAGTGAACGGTACATTGTTACAGTGAGGATGTTGCAGAAAGTCCCCTTCATCTCAGAAAGTTCAGCTGGACAGCACTGGGCATTGGAGTTCACCTTGTATCCAAAATTCCAAAGTACGAAAAGCTCTGACAGACATTTGCTGCAGACTCATTTGGTGGCAAAACAGACCCGAACTGCTATGAGGCCGTTAGCCTTCCTACCACTTAGCGTGGATGTTCATGCATCTCACTGTAAAATATACCACAGAAATAGTAATTAAACTATAGGGCACTGCCCGGCACACTGCTAGTGATGTTATATCAGCCAAATGAAAAGAAGAAGTAGGTACTCAATCTGCTAGTTACATGATCTTGGACAAGTCTTCTTAACGTCTCTGAGCCTGTTTGTAAAATGAAGATACTAACAACATTTCCTTTATCGACTTTTTGGAGTTATTTTGAAGATACATTAAGATCATAGTTCTGAAAATGTTCTGTACACTGTAACACAGAGATTGGTCTCAGGGGGAAAGCTGGTCTGCTTGTACCCGACATAGCTCATGGGTGTTTCTCTTGTGGTTTATTCCCAGATTGGGGCTGCCAGTCGTATCCCTGGAGTGACACCCGCTGCCGTCACCAATCTGCTCAGATTTGTGAAGACCGCCCAGCGGAGACAGGCAGCCAAGCACAGGCTGCCCAACCCCGAGCAGCGTCTCTGTGCTGCAGACAGACTGCAGGAGAGGCAGTTGTAGCTTCCTGTTCACGGAAGACTTTTAATCAAGACAGGGATATAGACGGTCGATAAGAAGTGTTTATATTTAGCACTTGTTCAGATAACCTTATTGGGTTATTATGGGTCTGTCACTAATTTATGAAGAGAGAGATTACAATTGTGCCTTTTTGTGTATCTGAAAAAGTAGTTACAAACTCTTCATTTGTACCCCTTCCCTCCCGCGCTCTAACGCCGCGGGCCCGCTGCTGTTCCCGTGCGCGGGGCCTCCCGGCGGAGCGCGAGCCCAAGCGGAGCAGGAAGGCGGGGCCGCCGCCCGTGGGGGCGCTGGTCGCGCCGCGGCCAGCCTCGCCCGCCAGCTTGCTGTGAAGTACGTTCGCTTAGGGGCAGTTTCAAGTCCCTCACATTCTGAGGGCTGAAATTTTGAAACTATGCAAAACCGCCCAGAATCATTTAGCTAATTTCCAGGATGGGATGTAGCGGGGAGGGTGAGAGGTGACTTACAAGGTTTCTGCATTTCTGCAGGAAATCCTCACCAGTAACTGTCTTTGAACATTAACGAAAACCCTGTAAAATGGAAAGATTGGAAATCTGTATAGTTTCCTGTCTTCCGCAGTGCGGAAACCTGTTTGGTAACCTAGTTAAGGGAGAGTAAGTGTGGTTATTTTATATCATACGGTATTTTCTTAGGAAACCATCAGGACCAGTTTCTTAACACTGAAGACAAATCTGTAGTAATTGGTGACTCATGTTCCCGTTTTAATGTCAGAATGGACAGAAAAATGGACAGAATGGTGCTGGCTCCCCCTTCCTCTGCCATCCTGTGATGTGTGCTCCCGAGGGTGAGGTGAGGAGACCAGCTGGGGCAAGAGGGCCCTACCTCTCCCCAGAAATGCCAGCTCAGGTCTCTCATTTCAGCCCAGAGAGAAGCTCCCCTGTCAGCCTCAACCTCAAGACAGGCAGGGACTGAAGACAGTCCCAGGGCTCAGAAGGGACTTCGGTTACAGATCTGTGTTAACTCTATGGGTGTGAGAGAGCCAGACAGCCTTTTGTTTTAATCATATGTGGCCACTCGGATGTAGCTCAGTTTCCACAGATTTGTTTCATATGATTTTTGTCATTTTGTCTTTCCATAAAGCAGTCAAGACCAGCAGCAAGTTAAAAGTACTTACAGTGCTGGGTCACTTGGCAATGATGAATTCTTTTTGATACTTCATCTAGTAATTTCAAAAAGTGGTAACTTTTCTTTTTATTCTTAGGCAGAATTCTTACTTCAGGGGCATATCCAGTATAATTCTACATTGTATTTTTAAAAACAAGGTATTTTGTGCTACCTGTTTGGCACTAGGAGGGAAACCACTGTTTTTTAACTTTTTTTTTTTCCTGGCTAAATATAGGAGTAAAAGCAGTGAGTGGGAGCTTACTGAATGGGATATAACAAAAACTTACCTTGAGGAAACAAAATTCCTAAACGCTTCAGAAGGTTCTTGACAGCTGTAATTTGGACATAGTGACACTACACATACAAAGAAATTAAAGGTTTACAATGTAATTCCATTATAGTAGTAACTGTCTCACTGAAAAATATTTGATAGGAAACATTTGTTTCAGGTTCTGCCACTTGGTTTAGGATGTGAAACCTCTTTAAATCCACAGTTTAAACCATGTTAACTTCTACATAGTATCAAAACAGCCTACTCTGGTGCTGCTAGCCAAAAGCACCCCAGACTACGATGCCCTGGGAAGAACCAGCTAAAAATGTGACCTTGCTTAGCCCAGGTACTTCACAGAAACCCCCAACAATGCCAGCAGCCAGCTTCCAACAGAAGTCGGCCTCATGATTTCCTCCACCCACCACAGGCCACACTACTTGCTAGCTAGATATGCTGGGTACTCACTGAAGTCATTTCAACAGGAACAAAATAAAAAAGAGGAAACGGCTGAGAAACACTCAGCATTTGTGAGATCACGGCGGGGGTCGGGTGGGGTGTGAAGATGGGGCCTATGCTGAGTTGAATTAGGAAGTGACCTTGCAGCCAGGAGTCTGAATTTATTCCTGATTGCTTTAAAATGTGCTGTCATTTGTGGGTTTCAGCCTAGACTGAAATAACCGTGGCTTTTTCCCTTCAGAATTTTCAACTCCTACAAGGACGCCTGGCCCAGAAGTAGCCAGAAGTACTGGGAAAGCCACCAGCAGAGACTCGTAGGCATGTCCTGAATAGGACGTGCTTTTTAAATGAATATTGGTAAAGGCAAGAAATGGCCAAACTAAAACTGAATACTTGAAAGGGATAATATTTTTTTGGTAGGGGGAGGTAATTAGGTTTATTCTTAGGGAAGATACTGGGGACTGAACCCAAAACCTTGTGCACACCAAGCACGTGTTCTGCCACTTGAGCTATATCTCCGCCGAAAGGGATAAAAACATGGACGACACAGATCCTCAGAAGGACATCCTTCAGTGTCGGCCTCTTCGTCTCCCTCACTGTCTTCACGTTCTCTTCAGCCTCATCTCCTCTCTGTCTGTCTGCACTGTCCCTGCTTTTCACTGCGCCTACTACGATATTAAAGCTTATTTTTTGGTATTCAATTTATTAAGCAGCTTTTTAGTATTGCCTGATTTAGGAGCCAGATTAAAGACACAGTCAACTGTGAAAAGGCACCCAATGGAGTGACAAAATGTTTGCAAATTGTGTGTCTGTAAGGGGTTAACATCCAAAATACAGAAGACTTATACAACTAACAGCAACAAAGACAAAAATACGCAAATGGGCGAAGGACTTGAACAGACATCGCTCCAGAGAAGATACACTGGTGGCCAGTAACCACATGAAGGGGTGCTCAGCATCACTAGTCACCAGGAAAATGTAAATTGAAGCAGCGAGCTAACCGCCTCACACCGTTAGGATTAGGAAGACTTGTCCAATCAGCAGAAAATAACAAATTTTGGGAAGGCTGTGGCCAGATCAGAGCACTCAGGTCTGTTGGCAGAAAGGTAAAGTGGTGCAACTACTATGGAAAACAGGATGGCAGTTCCCCCCAACCCTGAGTTAGAAGTCGGGTTACCAGGTGGTCCAACAGTTCCACACCTGGGTGTATACCCCAAAGAATTGAAGACGGGGACTTGAAGACCTGTTCAAGCTTGTTCACAACAGCGTTATTCACAGCACCCAAAGGCAGAAGCAGCCAAGTGTCCATGGACAGGTGATGGACAAGCACAATGTATATAAATGCAAGGGGATATTTTTCAGTTTTTCAAAGGAAGGGAATTCTGACCCTTGCTACAACCTGGATGAACTTTGAGGACATTATGCTAAGTGAAATAAGCTGGTCTCAGACAAATATTGTTATGATTCCACATACACAAAATACTTAGATTTGTGGGGACAAAGGAGAAGGTAGAAAGTTGGGGAGTTACTGTTTAACGGCTAGAGTTTCAGTTTTGTGAGATGACGAGACAGGAAGACAGTGATGACGGCTGCACAACAATGAAAGTACTTAATGGTCAAGATGTTAAATTTTTTATTGTATTTTACCACAAATTTTTTAAAAAGCCAAATGAATTATTTGTATGTGTATCTCAGACTCCAAAACTTGTTTATTTACTGATCATTTATCCCCTGCTTATTTCTAAAAATATAATTGCAACATTTTAAAGGATACAGAGCAGTTCAAATTGATTAGTTGACAAAAAGGCAAATTACATTTAAACAGTAAATTCCAGTTCTTTCTATCTGTTCAAGGGGACCAGGAGGAAACTTTGTCCTGTTACTAAAATCTAGATGTTTACTACATGAAAAAATGCTTTGCATTGGTGATTTTATAGAAGATAAAAGTGACTGCCCCCTTCCTGGCCAGAGGCCTGTGGCTTTCTTCTCCCTTCCACAGCCTCAGAAGCAAACATCTTCATTAGTTTAAACCAACCTTGGTATTAGCAGCCCCACAGCGTTCGGCCTAGACCCGAGGCCTGTGTGCAGACTGACCCAGCGCACTGTCCTCTGGGGGGCGTCTCAGCCCTTAAAAAGGACACCGATCTTAAGGTGATGAAAATGCTCTGAAATGAGATTACGTGAACTTTGAGAAAATACTGAAGACCATTGACTTGTATACTTTAAAAGGGGGAATTGTATAGTATCTGACTTATACATCAATAAAGATGTTATATACAAAAAACTGAAGTGTGTATGATTAAATGGCAAGCCCTTGAGCAATGATTCGTCAGCCCGGTTGGACAACAGAATTCCCAGTAGTGCTTGTAAAAGTAGGTGGCCAGGCCTGACCCCCCGCAGCTCTGATTCAGGTGGCCTGGGCAGGCCTGGGCACGGATGTCTTACAAACCCGCAGGTTGTCCTGGTGCCAGGGTGAGAGTGAGTCGCCTGTGCGCATGTCCGTTGTCTCAGCGGCTTCTGGCAGACACTAGATTGTAGTTAATTTTACAGTGTCTGCTGGCTCAGGGACCCGAACACAGTAATTTGTACTGTTGACTGAAGAGCTGGAGCAGTTCAGTTGTGCAGAAAAGAAGCTCGTGTTGTGTTCCAGACATTCAAGTTTAAAAGAAAGCCACCCTGCCTTCCATCGAGAGGTGGTGGGCAAGGTCAAATTTTTTCAAGTGTCAGCCTCGGGCCTCCTTGAATGCCTGCCTGGACATAGGTTGAGATCCTGTGCTTTTCTGCCTTGGAGAAAGAATGCAATTATTTTGATCTAGAACCTCACTTTTGACTGTCACTGACCTAGAGCAACATTTTTCAAACTGCTGGCTGCAAAATTCATTATCGGGTCATGAAATTAATTTGTTTTTTCATAGGTGGTGAGAATAAGTACTATTCTCTGAAACTTTCAGTAATTGATATACAAATTATATTTCATCAATTTTAAGATGCACATTGTTTCTATCATCTCTAAATTGGTGTATGTCCTATAATCAATAGTATCTTGTAATGCAGCATTTGTGACTTGCAATTTAAAACCTCTTAGATGCAATGAAATACAACGTATTTGTACTGTGTTGTGCACAGGAAATATATTTCGTACTGTGGATTCTACCCAAAAAAAGTTTGGAAAAGACCGATCAGTCCATTAGGAATATTTCACATCTGTGTATTCTGAAAGTATATTCTTCTAGAAAGGTTTTAAAAACAAGTCTGTTTTTCCTTTGTGAATGATTTTGATTTTCACAACCACTTCATAGGGTAGATAGGCAAGTTACACATACTGTCATTTTTACAGATATGTAGAGGGGTTAAGCGACTTGCACAAGCTCACAGAAACTTTCTGATTCCTGCTATATGTAGTTATGATGTTTCTTTGTTTTTTTAAGTCTTACTGCTCTTCCTGTGCTGTGCCTGGCCAAGTGACGGGATTAAAATGTAATTCCAAGTTGCTGTTGTGCAGTGGTGCTCAGGCATTCTGACCTCACCACACCTTTCTGTCACTGTCAGCGGGTCTTTTCCTCCCAAGGACCAGAGGTCCTCCACTGGATGAAAAGCTCCTCCATCCCACTAAACAATGTAGGACAGAAGTCTGTTTCTTTTGACTTCGCCTTCAGTTCCTACTCCCACTCTTTGGAGCCCATCTCATGCTAAGTATTATGGAGTTGCTCAGCTTAATAAAAAACCCTTATAGCACTCAGTCTAATTTTAAGTGTTATCCCAGAGTTCGGAGGCTGGAGGGGGACCTAGAGTGTGAATTTCACTTTGAACAGCATCTCCTGCAGACTTAAAATCCTCTTCATATACTTGAAGACAGTAATCCTTTTCAAGTGTCTACTAAGCTAAACAAATTTTTTAAATCCAGTTCTTGTAATTAATTCATTTTTAGGCTCTACTTATGTCGGTTGCTCTCTGAATTCTCTTTTATTAGAGTTGGTCTACACCCTTTTAACACAGGGACGATCTAAATTTAAAACATCATAGATACATAAAAAACACACTGCCTATGTTTAGAAGGAAACATTTCTAGACTTCACTGTATTTAATACAAGACCAGACTCTGTGCTGTGTGCAGGCAGGCAGCATTTCAAACCATGAACAGAAACTTAACTGATTTTTCTGTATTTCATTCCACACAGAACCACCTCAAGGTGGGGCACTTTAGCAAACCAGAGACAGGTGTCAGAGCTTTGAAGAATAACACCCGCAAGCAATTACATTAAATATGAGAAATTGAGTTCCAAGAGACGCATTCCCTAACCTCAATATCCAGACTTCATATGAGAAAATGTTTTCTAGACCCAACCACAACTGAATAAAAACCACCTCCTTTCTCATTAGGCGTTTACTGAGTTGCCAGTTTCTATGCAGAATCCTGTAGGAGGCTACACTGTCAAGTTCACAGGGTCGGTCAGGAAGGCCTGACTACAGCCAAAGCAAGGGCTGCAGGCCAAGCCTGGCCAGGCCCTTCCTCCACTGCAAGGACACAGCTGTCCCCTTCTGCCTACAGGGGTCCGACCCAGGCCCCAGCAGCGCTGCAGACGCCCTCACCAGCAGGCTCAGCTGGGGCGGGGGGCCCGTAACTCAGTGCTCACGTGGCAGTCTTACAGCTTAGCGCCACACC